GCATTCTTATAGCACGTGAAGGTGTGTTTATGAATTTGAAGAGCTGCGTGATCTGAATTGATCGCCTGCTGGGTATCGACCGAGCATAATCGATTGATGAGTTCTAGGGTTCTCGGCATTTCTTCTGAAACTTCCCCTTGGGATTCTGATCCAACCATAGCAGTGCATGCATATGGGGGCTCCCTCTGTGTTGAAATTCTATTCTCAAAAAGGAACCAATGATCCGGTTTTGTCCGAGGGGACTGAGTCGATCTGATTGTGAAATTCGCATTAACGAATTCATCATTTTCCTAAAGTACACGCAACAAGTGACGGAGCCTTCATTCACGCGCTGTGCCCTGACTGCAGCCGATAACTGAGAAATTGGATCCTCGATCTCGATCGAATCTTCGTTCTGGAGCTTTCGCTATATTCGTAGAAGATGGGGCCATCTAACCTCGTTGGCGCTCATGGTTAGAAAGAACGTGGGTTTGCCCAATTGACGGATAATGGAAAACAAATCTTCTTTCCCACCGGCCCAACATTGGACCGAATCGGGAATGGACCTTAGGAAAGCGAAGTTGTGGTCAAGACAGTGCTCTAGGAAGTGAGCGTCTTCGAGCATTGCTCGGGTGATCCTCCTTTGATCTGAAGTATTCCGTATACGTCGCGTAAAGCCCCTTAGCGATTCTTCGTTTCATGATTTTCGCTGCGACATACAGGAGGTGTTCAGGAGTTGCTCCTCGCCGATCGCGTCGCCGAATTTCACTAATTGCGATTCGGAAGGCCGTCACAGCCACACCTTGTCTGAAAGTCTTTGGCATGCCATAGTATATTGCAGGGAACGACAGCTCTTCTGCGTGTTCATCATATAATAGAGTGAGAGGCGTTTTCTTCTGACCCGGTGCAATGACTAGATATTGATCTTTGTTCCTAAGCAAGGGTTGTTAAGTAGCCTGAAGCATTTCGGCATCATTTTCGGTGTCGGCAGCATCGAGTTCTTCTTCCTCGTTGTCTGTATTGTCTGGAGGAAATCCAGTCCAATCGACTTTGATGTTACACCTCTTGTACAGAGGCGTCGTTTGGAGGAAATCTAACCAGGCTTTGAGGTCCGCTCTCCTAACTTTTCCTGAGTGTGCTGTGCTTTCATGGATGGTTTGTTCCTTCAAAGATACATTCAGAGCATAATCATCTGCCAGACTCCGCGGCAAATTCGATACCATTTCTTGGACATCGACAGGTACATTGATTATTATCTGACCGACAACTCTGTAAGCTCCGGCTCCTTGGCGCAATCGTCGTATCTGCATGAAAGGTATCCGAGGGCTGATGAGGCGCGTGGATATCGCATTCAGTTGTGGGAGATTGTCGGGTTCTATTGGATAGCAAAGTTCGTTGTATACCGCCAACGATGGCACTTTGCCTCCACTAATTGATTTCGCGCAAGCGTAACACAATTTGGCATCCGTCGTGATACGATTCCTTCCCTCAAGTTTTGTGAAATGCACCGACGTAGCTGATTGGAGGTCGTTACGGAACCAGAGACGATCGCACACCGTACATGCGTGCCGGTATTCTTGGTCGAGGATTTTTTTCTGAATTCCAGTGTTGCTGGTGATTGCTCATACCAATTCAATGGTTGTGCGTTTGCTGGATTCTCCGACTCTGAATGAGCGATCCGGAGTCGTTGACGATATTCTCGAGTGCGAAATGACCCTGAGGACGGCGGACCCGCCGGGGTTGATGAATTCCGGTTGAGAACTTCCGCGGTTTTCTTCCGCTACCGATATATGTAGACGTTTTCTTTCACGAGAGGATTTAGCTCCATTCTCCTGCTGATGAGGTGCTTCTGATTCTTGCTGCATCGGTTTCTTGTTCGTCAGGATTCGAACTAGATGTTCGAAGAGATTCCATGACGGGGAGGTCCTTTGAGCGACGGTGTCTCACATTGGAGGGATGCATTCCGCTTATTTCACATTCACAGATATCATGAAATTCGGAGCCGAAAACGACAACGCCGAGCAGCCGATCCGCTGGCTAAACGGCGCCGGCGGCGCGGCGGCTCCTCGTAGGGCGCAGGCAAGAGATTTAACCCTAACTCACAACCGTCGTGAGAACAACGTGCTATCGATAGTTTGAGCGATTAAGACTCGGATTGATTTTCGGAGATCGATTGGTAAGGATGACGACCCGAAGTGCATCTGGGCCACAGATTTCTGGAAAAACAGGGATCCGGAAACGGAATCGCATTCCGAGTGAAGCAGTGAAAAAAGAGCCATTTCGACGCGCTACGGTGAAATCAATGACGGGAAGAGTTCCTGAACGAGCTGAGCTGCCACGTAAGTCGAAGATAACCAACCTACGCCTTCGTTCGGGTAACCGAATCGGAACTGGAGAAGTGGTTTCTGGACAATCCGGAAAGAGAGAGCGAAGTCGTTGCCGGAAAGAAGTTGGCGGGAAGAAAACGTCAAAAAACGTTTCGATCAAAGCTATGGCGGGACTATGTCCCGAGCAGTCAGGGCTCTCGTCTGGGTCGGGAACGAGCGACAGTCGACTGGTCCCGGAGATTCGATCTAAAATCGGGGGACAGAAACAGGCTTCCACACGGGTTGTGAATCGGAAACGAAAATTCCTTCCACGTGGGGACGTTGTGGGGGAATCGTCGCAGCGTGCCCAGTTGGAATCTGGGGCGAGCCGAGTTCCCGATCAGGCTGACCTCCTCTCTGGGTCAAGAATGGAAAATACTCAGTCAGTGTGACGTACGGCCAGGCCGTAGCGCATTCATCCTATATGAATTGTTGCACATATCAAGGATTTCTCACGTTTATGAGTGACGCCATATTGATTTCTCTAGTCAGTAGAGATTAGAAGCGTACTCCACGCGCGGCATCAATGGCCAGACTCTGATTAGTGAAGAGCGGTTCAATCCCGCTTCGAACTCCCATTCAGTTGCGTGGCGGTAAGGCCGTATCACTACGTCCTACCCCGATCGCGCTCGCTTCTTGTGCCGACTCTCAGTGATATAAACTCTGTGTCATCATTCAAGTATAAATTCAGGATCGGTACGTCATACTCAGCAAAGTCGGTAGAGAGCACGGTTGGAGAGACCAAGCGGAGCTGCACCGGCACCGACGCGTTAGCAACACTAAAAGTCGTCGAACTGCTCGCACAATGCGTTGTCAGAGAGCTCCATCTCGGAGAGTTCCGACGAATATCGCGGAAGTCGAAAAAACCCATCTGGGAAAGGAACTCGGGAGCGAATCATGGGAGACGAAATCAGTGTCATTCGCGGAATCCAAGGTTGTGATTTCGAAAGATCGCCTTTGGTAGCGGCATGGGTCCACCTGATTTCTGAAGATGAAGAGGAAGAAGCTCCAGGAAGAACCCGCCCGTATTTGAAAACTGCAGGGTCCTCCCGAGGCGCTTGGGAGAGCTCGATGAAAACCCGAAGTAGATCTGGGCAAGAGGTATCTGGAAAAGTGGGGAACCGAAAACGGAATCCCCTTACAGTGAAGAAGTGGAAAAGGGGACATCCCAGCGTGATACGGGGAAACCGATTAAATTGCTTTTATTGCCGACTCGGCGTATTTGACTAGTAGCAAGCTAAATGTGCAGTATCACAGTGTCACGTTCTAGTCCAATCGAAATTCACCCTAGCTTCGCATCCGTATAGGTGGTAATCCCCGCATGATCGTCCGCATAAAGAGCATAGGCATTGCTCGCTCACGTCGTGGTAATGAGGTCTGATGCAGATGAGGTGGTGGAAGCCGTGGATCGACCCTCTCGTAATCCTGTGACGGTTCTTGAATTTCGGTCCTTCCAATGCTCAGTGGTCATCGCCGGGGTCTCGTAGAACATATAAGGGATGGATTCCATCTTGATGGACCATGCCTCACAGTGTAGCTCGAAGGCTGGCGTTCGGGGACGGTTGAAATTCGCTCTGATTTCTTCGACGAAGAGAGGAGTGTTTGTCATATTGTACACCAACCTATTTCTGCTTGTGCGATGAACTCCGAGCATGCCTTTCAGAAACTGTGTGTTAAGATTTAAGCGTCCCGCCAATATCCCCCCTATATAATAAAACAGTAAGCTCCCGACTCGCCGTAACATTTATCGGTGCCTATTCCTGCTCGCTTCCACTCAAAATTACACTGACAAGATGCGGAGCCGCCTGAAGGAGTGTAAGATGTAGTTTTCGGAATGTTGGGTCATGTACTTATCCGAGAAAATCACCTTTTTCCACCCCGGTCCGAGTTGTGTTGTTCGTCACGGCCCTCTCCACTAACTCTCTCCACCAAGCAGTTCGCCGAGTACCATCCCGCTGCCCAAGGACTAACGACTATGCTATGCTATGCTGTTCTATGAGATTTAGGATGAGATTTAGGACATATACATGAAGCGCTTCACAGCGAGAGGGAGAATGGCAGGCTGACATTCGATCCGGATGAACCTGCTACATCACCTTTACCATTCGAACTATTCTACGAGAGCTGAGATGTACTTTTCGGAATGTTTGATCATGTTCTTATCCGAGATCCACCAAGCAGTTCGCCGAGTACCATCCCGCTGCCCAAGGATTAACGACTATGCCATGCTATGCTATGCTGTTCTATGAGATTTAGGATGAGATTTAGGACATATACATGAAGCGCTTCACCGCGAGAGGGAGAATGGCAGGCTGACATTCGATCCGGATGAACCCGCTATATCACCTTTACCACCTTTACCATTCGAACTATTCTACGAGAGCTATGCTGTCGTCATCATCATCGATTTTCTTCCTCGAACTCTATTATCTTTTTCTTTGCTAAACAGCTCAAGCTCAAAAAGCAGCGCACGCGCTTCGCGCCCTCACGGCTGGTGACAAATAAACAAAGGGAAGCAGACTGCTTCATATCGGCGCCACTTCGGTGACGAGCTATGACCAGGCAGGTTGTCTTCATTTAACAACTGGCGACGAAGATTGAAAAACGGACCCCAAGACTTTGATCGTGTGTCAAGAAAACTCAGGAGGTTCAATCATGTCTGGTGCGGCGAGTTCTACATTCGAACATTTCAAGCCGCGCACCGAGAAGTTCTCCGCGTGGTTATGCCGTCTGGAAAATTACCTACGCTACGAAAAGAAAACTACTCCCGACGAGAAGCAATGTGCCCTCCTTGCGTTCATGGGATCGGAAGCGTTCAAACGGTTTTTCGATAAAGTTCCGTCCGACAAAAAACCGGAGAATCTCAGCTACGACGAAATCACCGAAGTCCTACGAAAAATCTACGAGCCAGGTGAAAACGTATGGAGCGTCCGACTCTCGTTCCGTGGAGTCCGACAAAGCTCCGGGGAATCCCTCGAAGATTTCGAAGCACGTGTACGAACCGCAGGCCGACAATGTAGATGGGTAGGCGAAGAACTCCAAATGAATCTAATTGAGCAGTTCATTGGAGGTCTCTGCGAACAGACCGTCCAACAGGCGATCCTGGTCGGTTCCCCGAAGAACTAATCAACGCGAAGAAAACAGCTTCTGTCTTCCGTAACTTGCATAGTCATGCTAATGCTAGCGATGTCAACAAACTCCATGTGGGAAAGCAAGCAGCCGGAGGCAGGAAGTTCACAAAGAGAAGCTTCCGAAATTCATCGAATTTCCACAAGCGAATCACTGGTAACAAATGTTATCGTTGCGGAGATGCAAGTCACCTAGCCCCGGATTGCCGGTACAAGAGCGCAGAGTGCAATCACTGCAAAATGTGAGGCCATCTAGCATCCGTCTGCAGAAAAATACAGACTCATCATCTCCTGGAAGAAGTTCCCTTCAATTACGTCGACGATCACGGCAAGAAGCCGATCGAAATCATGGTGCGAATACGCGACCAAGAGATAATGATGGAGCTCGATACGGGCAGTGGAATCTCCACGATGGAATATCCCAAGTTCATGGGCATGTTCCCGAATGAGAAACTTCACAGGAATGATATCAAGCTACGAACTGCTACCCGTGAACTCTTCGAACCAACATGTTTCGCGATTGTTCCGGTCACGGTGTATGGTAAGAGCCACAATCTCAAACTTTACCTCATCGATCGCCCCGATTTTCCAGCTCTTTTCGGACGATCGTGGTTACGCAAGACCGAAGTCAATCCTCTCGATGTGAATCACTGCGATTACGACGCCCTGAATCACGAGCAGGAGGCGAAGAGACTTCTGCTCAAATACCCAAACCTGTCGAAGGGAGGTATCGGGAAGATCCCCAATGTGGAAGCATCCATTCATCTCAGAGAAAACCCGAAACCATCCTACTCCCGACCCCGCCCAGTTCCTCACGCGCTCCTGCCGCTGGTAGACGCCGAGCTCGATCAACTTGAAAAGTTTGATGTAATCGAAAAGGTAGACGCTAGTGAGTGGGCCCATCCGGCGGTTATTGCGCTCAGAGGAAAAGGCGAACTCTCGAAAAGGAAAGCAAGAATCTGTGGAGATTTTAAGGTGGGATTAAACCGTTTCCTGATAATCGACGATCATCCATTAAAGAATATTCGCCATGCGCTCGACAATATCGGCGTTGGAAAACGATTCACGAAGCTAGACGTATCGAATGCATTTCTTCATATGCCCATACGCCCGGAGGATCGAAAATTCCTAACCGTTAACACACATCGTGGATTATACAGGTTCAAGCGCATGTGCAATGGCCTAGCGTCAGCGCCTGCAATCTGGCAGCGATACATGGAAGGAATACTAGCAGGAATACAAGGAGTCGAGGTCGTTATCGACGACATCGTCATCTCTGCCTCTACCGATCAGGAGCATCTGAAGCGGTTGGACGCCGTCCTTCAGCGACTCGATTCGAATGACCTCCGGCTGAATCTGGCAAAATGTAGTTTTTTCGCCGAGGAGATTCAGTTTTGCGGGTTCCGGTTACGTCACCAAGAAATACACAAATGTGACGATAAGATATCTTGTCTCAAAAACGCCCCAATTCCGAAGTCTCTCAATGAGCTGAGAAGTTTCATCGGCATGATCCAATTTTATTCTTCGTTTGCGCCGCAACTGGCCGACCTCGCCCACCCTCTCTACAAAGCGTTCAAAGGAGGGAAGGATAAATTCACATGGACACCGGAGATGACACAAGCATTCAACGCCGTGAAAACTGAGATGTGTTCCCCGAGAGTACTAGTACCGTTCGATTCCGAGAAAACCCTTTTGCTGGCAACCGACGCGTCGTCTTATGGCATTTCGGCAGTACTTTCTCACCGATATGAAGACAAAACCGAGCGGCCCATAGCATACTACTCGAGGACACTCTCGGATACGGAGAAACGGTATACGCAGCTAGATAAAGAGGCATTGGGCATAAAGGAAGGAGTCAACCGTTTTTTCTTCTATTTGTTCGGAAGAAGATTCGTTTTGATTACAGACAGCAAACCCTTAGTTTCGATTCTGTCGCCTTCAAAGGCTCTGCCACCGCTAGCAGCAATGCGAATGATGAACTACAGCATGTTTCTCCAATCGTTCACCTTCGATATAATTTATCGGAACACCAACGACCATGGAAATGCAGATATGCTTTCGCGTCTTCCAATGAGAAGTGAAGACCCCATCCCTCCTCAAGAACCCACCGACATCGGGTTCTTGTTCCTCTGACGTGCCGTCCGCAGGTGCTGAAGGAGCTCCACGAAGGACATTTTGGTTCGGACAAAATGAAACAGTTAGCTCGACGCTACATCTGGTGGGATACTATCAACAGAGACATCGAAGAACTAGCCAGGCAATGTGCGACTTGTACTCAGTTCGCTAAACAACCATCGAAATCATACCATCCTTGGGAGAACACGGAACAACCATTCGATCGCATCCAATGTGACTACGCCGGTCCGATAGACGGAAGATACCTCTTCTTGGCCGTCGATGCTCACACTAAGTGGCTAGAAGTAATGGTTTCAAAATCGAAAACGTCACAAACAAGCCTTAATCATCTTAGGAAAATAATTGCCCGATTTGGATTGCCGAGAGTAATCGTCACTGACAACGATCCGACCTTCGCCTCGAGTGAATTCAACAAGTTCTGTCAAGCGAATGGCATCCTTCATAAAACTAGTCCTCCCTACCACCCCGCCTCGAACGGCCAAGTGGAACGGTACGTTCAAACTACGAAGCAGGCGCTGAAGAAAATCAAAGCTGAAGGGGAGAAAGACCTCCACACCGCGATTCAGCAATTTCTGTTTCGCCACCGAATGGTGAACAGTTCATCGACAAACAAGACTCCGGCCGAACTCATGATAGGACGACAATTACGCTCCCGACTCAACCTGCTTCAAGAGCGGCCGGCAGCGAAACACGCTCAAATCAACGAGGAGGCAAAACTTCAGCCTAGCATGCAAGTGATGGCACGGGTTTACAATGGGAAGGACAAGTGGATTCCTGGGGAAATCATGAAACCTTTGGGAAGGAAAGTCGCGTTAGTCAAGACTTCTCACGGAACCTGGAAACGCCACTTGAACCAGATCAGATCGTCAGGAGGGAGAGCCCGTGCTCAAAGTTTCCATGAAGCACTACACCCGGCGTTGTTGGTCGCTGAAGATCCATCGGAAGAACGGCCGTTGAACACATCCAGCTCGGAGAGCGAGGACACAGATGACTTCGCCTCGGTTGGAGATTCGGAGGAAACAGTCGAAACCCAAGAGGAGTCTCCGACGCAAGACACCGTCAACGATCAGAAAGATTCCCCAGCAGAAGAGTTAGTTTCGAATTCTGGGGAGTCTCTGACACAGGCGTTGGTCAACGCGTCGAGTGATTCATCGAAAGGGACCTCATGCGAAAATCCTGTGAGGCCTCAACTGGATCTGCGTCGATCGACTCGTAAGACTGCTGGGATGCCTCCTAAAAGATTCTAACATTGTGATACAATAATTATCCGAATGTAAATACTTCGAAAGAAGGGGAGAGTTGTTACGATTTAAGCGTCCCGCCAATATGACAAATAAACAAAGGGAAGCAGACTGCTTCATATCGGCGCCACTTCGGTGACGAGCTATGACCAGGCAGGTTGTCTTCATTTAACACTGTGCCTTGATCTTGTCGAGCGAGTCAAAGTGCGTCTCGGTGAAAGAGCTCCAGATTTCCTGAATCCCGTAGGTGACCATAGGCGCGATTTTCAACTGGAACAGTGCGAGCGCGGTGCTTACCGATAGCTCCCAGGGCTTTGGGACCGAGCAGAACGCTCGCCTGGCCTTGCTCAGTCTATCTCTAATATGCCTGGAGACCGCAACCCGCTACGGTGAAACCAATAATCGGGCGAGTTCCTGATCGAGCTGAGCTGCCGCGTGAGTTGAAGATGACCAACCTGCGCCTTGATTTGGGTGACCGAATTGGAACTAGAAATACGGTATCTGGACGATCCGAACTGTCTGACCTCCCTTCGGGGTCGGGTATAAAACATGGTCAGTATGTGTCGCATGAGAAGCCCGGCCGGAGTGCCCAGGCGGCGCTGCAGCGGCACTGGCGCGATAGCGACTCTAGCTCTTCGAAGTTCTCGCTCGACGCCTTGTCAGAGAGCTCGATCACGGAAGGTCCCAACGCATATCGCGGAAAACGGAAAAACCAATCGGGTGTCGGAAATCAGGATCGTACCATGGAGGACGAAATCAGTGTCCCTCTCGAAACACGAGCCCGTGACTCCGAAAGATCCGCGATGGGAACGGCAAGGGTCAACCTGATCTCTGAAGAAGACGAGGACGTAGCTCCGGGAGGAACCCGCCCGCTCTTGAGAATTATAGGGTCGTCTCGAGGCATTCATGAGAGCTCGATGAAAACCCGAAGTGGATCTGAGCGAGAGGTATCTGGAAAATCATGGAACCTAAAACGAAATCGCCGTCCGAGGGAAGCAGTGGCAAAGGATACATTTCTGCGTGCTACGGTGGAATCGATGACTGGGCGACTTCCTGAACGAGCTGCCTCGTGAGTTGAAAATGACCAACCTGCGCCTTGATTCGGGTAACCGAATTGGAACTAGAAATACGGTATCTGGACGATCCGAACTGTCTTACCTCCCTTCGGGGTCGGGGATAAAACATGGTCGGTATGTGTCGGATGAGAAGCCCGGTTGGAGTGCCCAGGCGGTGCTGCAGCGGCACCGGCGCGATAGCGACACTAGCTCCTCGAAGTGCTCGCTCGACGCCGTGTCAGAGAGCTCCATCACGGAAGGTCCCGACGTATATCGCGGAAGTCGGAAAAACCAATCGAGTGTCGGGAATCAGGATCGTACCATGGAGGACGAAATCAGTGTCCCTCTCGAAACACGAGCCCGTGACTCCGAAAGATCCGCGATGGGAATGGCATGGGTCAACCTGATCTCTGAAGAAGAAGAGGACGTAGCTCCGGGAGGAACCCGCCCGCTCTTGAAAATTACAGGGTCGTCTCGAGGCATTCATGAGAGCTCGATGAAACCCGAAGCGGATCTGAGCGAGAGGTATCTGGAAAATCAGGGAACCTAAAACGAAATCGCCGTCCGACGGAAGCAGTGGCAAAGGATACATTTCTGCGTGCTACGGTGGAAACGATGACTGGGCGACTTCCATCTCGGAGGGTCCCGAAGAATATCGCGAATATCGAAAAAACCGATCGGGTGTCGGAAATAAGGATCGTAACATGAAGAACGAAGCATCGGACTTCGAAAAGAGCTTCCCTCAAGTCGTCATCCGGGAGAAGCGCCACGATTCCCGTGGAGGGAAAAAGATACCTACGAGCTACAGACACATCGACTCACTCGAAACTATTTCGGGTAGTAAGTATTGGCCGCCTGCATGAGGACTCTGCTGCAATGGTATGAATCAACACGTCCGCAAACTGTCACTGAAATCAAGGACAACTACTACGTCGACGACATAGCTATCGGAGCGGACACAGACAACTCATCGCCGGACAACTCATCGCCGAGCCTCCATCACTCTTCTTCGAGTTTCCAAATGAAGACCCCGCTCTTATCGAGCTTTAATTTACTTCATATTTCTCGGCTTAAGATACCTTAATGTACCTACAACGATCTCCACAACGTACAATGACTATACATACAGGGTATATACTCTCCTTCGTGTTTCCAAACGATAGCCTTGATGAGATCGGAGAAGGTGCCATGGATCAATATCCTAGCACCGCCTGCGCTAGCGTCAGGAAGTTCCCGCCGGGAAGAACGAAGATGCCGAACGTGCAGAGAGATATTGAACTTGAGAGGGGAAAAGCGTAGCTCCCTTTGTTGTCATCCGATCGCTGTACGAATCGCAATATCCCTCAAAGGAAATATCCACCTAGCAATGGCTTCCCCGTCGAACAGCAATAATCTGGTATCGCAGCGCGGAAAATGCAAACGAACCCACGATGGACATATCTATATCCGTGACAAATGCAGCAAAGATGGCACGAGAGTGTTCTGGCGCTGTCACCATCTCGGAGCCTGCAAGGCTCGACTACACACTTCAGCCTCGGATGACGGAGTTCTCAAGGTGCTCGGTGTACACAGTGACGAGCCGAACCCAAGTGCAGTGGAAGTTGCGGCGAAACGAACTGCTCTGAAACGAAGAGCCGAGGAGTGCCAGGAGACTCCATTGCAATTGATCGAAAGTGTTTTCGAGTCGTCGACCCAAGCCGCAAAACTTGTGCTGCCAAGCTGCGAAACGCTTTCCAGATCAATAAACCGAGCCCGTAAGAATGCCATGCGGCAGGCGGCGAGTCCACAAGATCGGTCGTCGATTGTGATTCCGGAAGAGCTAACGATGTACGAGAGTGAGCCCGGCGTGTTTGAGCGTTTTCTTATCGGCGACACAGGTGAGATCCGGTGAAATCCAAGCTGTACTAGTAGATACTCCATCTTCGTTTCGACCCCTTATAATCTCCAATCAGAACCGCGTTCAGTAACTCTGACTTGTTCACATTCCCTAGGAGAAGGCGATCCTGCGAGAATTCTCCTCTTCGGACGCGAGTCCGTGGGTGAATGGATTGGTCTCTCGCGGAAAATCTTCGTGGACGGTACCTTCAGCTTGGCGCCTCCATGCTTCTATGTATCAGATCGTTGCGGTTCTTGCCCAACGGGGGGAATTCGTGTTCCCAGTGTGCTACGCCTTATTGCCAGACAAGAGTCAAAATTTGTACGCACGCATGATACAGCTCATCCGAGCTGCCTGGCCCGCTTTCGCTCCTGAGGCGATCTCCACCGATTTCGAAATGGGTTTCGTCAATGCGTTCACCGCATCCTTTCCTGATGCTGAGACATGGCTGTCTGTTCAGAAGATGAAAAAGAAGCTTGGTGACTTGAACTTGCTGAGCCGGTATCGGAACGAAGGAAGCTTCGCACTCAGCGCCCGGATGATCTGTGCATTAGCCTTCGTACCGCTGGGTGATTTGAACAACGCCATAGCTGAGCTGGCGGTCGCGCTGCCGCACGAGCTCATGCCCGTTCTAAAATACTTCGAAGATACGTACGTCGGCTCCTTGCTACATATCCTGCCGGACGGAACCATCATTCGTCGAGAGCCCTTGTTCCCGCAGAGCATGTGGTCAGTCCATCTACGTACGCTGAACGGCGACTCGCGAACGAATAACTATGCGGAGGCAGCCCATCGGAGGCTGCAGACCGAATTCGGTGTGAAGCACCCGAACTTGTGGCGTTTCATCGAAGGCTTGAAGAGGGTGCAGCATCACCGTGACATGCTGTACGCTCGCTTCGAAAGCGGCAATCGACCGGCCGCGAAGCGCAGGAAGTACGAGGAAATCGATCGCAGGGTGTTGGAGTTGGTGAACAACTTCCATATCCACACGGTTGTCGGATATCTGAGGGGTTGCGCATCCAACTTTGTGATGAACCCATGAAGCCTCGACTTTCCAGCATTCTGTATGTTTGGCGCCGTGCCATACATACGATACTCGTATTTACCCTGTGTCTATGGTCATAGTACGTTGTGAAAATCGTTTTAGGTACATTGTGGTATCTTGAGCCGAGAAATATGAAGTAAATTAAAGCTCGAAAACTGCGGGGTCTTCATTTGGAAACTCGAAAAAGAGTGATGGAGGCTCGGCGATGAGTTGTCCGGCGATGAGTTGTCCGGCGATGAGTTCTCTCGGC